GCAGGGCCGATGTGGGAGTAGGTGCAGTATGCTTATGTCACCACAGTGTTGTGCATGATGTTTGGATGCTAGACTAGTTGCAACTAACAGGAAAAGTTTGTGTTGTATCAGCGCATGTCTTGGAAAAAGATTGTTAATTTTTGGTTTTGTTTTATTTTGTTTTTTTAATCTACTGACAAGTTGCTCTAGTAACCCAAAGAAGTGAAGGAGAAAGCAGCTGCCTCACCAACAGCCTAGATACTGACTTGTTCAGATGTTTCAATGCCTCATGATACAATAAAACCACAAAATTGTTTTTAACAGTTAAAAAAGAAGAAATTATATCTCTGTCTTTCTTTTTCCAATTCTATGTTATAGGAGGTGAGTCTTTATTTAAAAAGTAACCCAAATTAAATAAACAACATGCTTCTATTTAATTTTATTTAGGACTTCTGTGTTACTGTGGTGGGAAGACTTTCTCCAGGTACACCAATTCTCACCACCTTCATCTCCACTTCCTGGGTCATAGTTCCTGAGACATGCCACACTTACTCATATAGATCCATTTTTGTGTAGTTCCTTCTGATTTAAAAAAGAAAAACATGAAATACTGTGACTTCTCTTATACACAAATGGCAATTGTTCACTTGTGCTCTTAATAAAAGACAGCTCAAAGGCTAGAGAAGTGGCTCAGTGTTCAATGCCATGCACCCTTCTTACAAAGGACCTGAGTTGCTTCCCAGCATTTGTATCAGGCAGCTCACAACTGCCTATCACTTCAGCTCCAGGAGCCTGGCACTCACGGCTTCTGAGGGCATTTCTCCTGTGGGTGTCCCTCTTCCATACTCATACAATCCTAACTTAAGCAGAAGAAAAACTCCTCAATAATGACCAACGTTATACAGATTTTTTATTTTACAGGAAATTCTTATTCTAGTCTACAGTGCAAACGTTTCATTGCAGTTAAAATGGAACCATGTAACATAATTAAGATATTACAAGTCAGTAGGAAGTGAAGTTACTAGTCACATTTTTTATAATATGAATGTCTTAAATAATTGAAACAGCAGGGAGTTTAATATGGAGAGAAGTTAGAAGTAATATGTAAGTACAATTACTCAGCAAAACACACACACACACACACACACACACACACACACACACACACACACACACACACAGAGGACCTAGTGCAGTTGCTAAGTCACTGGACTTAGAGGGCCTTCTTTACCTCTGGCTCCTATACTCTTTCTGCCTCCTGTTCCATGGGTTTCCTTGAGTTCTGAGGGGAGAGATTTGATGGGGACATAGCATTTAAGTCTGAGTGTCCCCAGGTCTCATTCTCTGTGTAATGTCTGGCTGTGGGTCTCTGTATTTGTCTTAGTCTGCTTTAAGTGGAGGCTTCTCTGATGATAGTTGAACAGGGCACTGATCTATGAGTACAGAGGAATAATATTAGGGGACATTTTATCTCTACTCCCCCTCTTTTAGACCAGTATTATTTGGCTTGCCCATAATCCTTGGACTGTCTAGTCTTAGGTTCTTGATCACCCAAGAAGTGTTACATATGGGCTACATCTGGTAGAGTGGGCCTTAAATCAAATCAGTTATTGATTGGTTACTTCCACAAGCTTTGTGCCACTGTTGCCCCAGCATATCTTACAGGCAGTATAGTACAACCTTATATAGTATAGTCAAGGAGTTTGTGGTTGCCTTGGTATTTGTGTTACTCTTTTACTAGCATACAGATTACTTTCTTGTACCAAAGAAGCATGGGGTGAAGGCTCTATGTAGACACCAGCTCACCATCATGTTCAATATCGGTATTGTCATCAGCAATGGGTCCTTGCTATCAGTTTGTGGAGAGCAATCCGATAGTACTGGCAACAGACTGTGTTGTTTGGGGATTCCCACTAGCCCCTTTGGCCAACAACTTAATTAGGTGATTCTGTCTCCCCCATTATTTAGAGACTTCATTTAGATCACCTTTGTGTATGTGTATATTTTTAAAAGTTTCTACTGCATTAGGTCTCGATACTATCCCTCAAATGCCCCTTAATTTTAGCTGTTTCTTCCCATAGTTCCTCACACAACCCCCCATGACCTCCCACTCCCCACTTGTATGAAATGACTGTGTCTCTGATTCTAGTGCCTTCTTTTGGGATCATTTCCATCTGTTGGTTTGTCTTGTACATCTATGATGCAATAGTTTTTATTTTCTCTTACTATATTTTATTTTGCTATTTTTTTGAATGAATGAATGAATGAATGAATGAATGAATGAATGAATGAAAACCTAGATGCAAGGGTAAAATTTGACAATTTAACTGTCATTTATACATGCTGGGAGAGGGAAAATCAGTTTTCTCTATTAGTGTGAACACTGGTTATATCATTCATTCCAGGACAGCCATTATGTCCAGGATCAACATATGTGGATACCATGTGTGTCAATGTGGTTTTCTTTTGTTACAGTTTGGTGTTTTGTTTTTTATTTGTGTGTGTGTGTGTGTGTGTGTGTGTGTGTGTGTGTGTGTGGCTTTATTTTGTTGTCTTAGTTTGGGGATTTGTTGTATAAAATGTTTGAGAAAGAACTCAAATCTTAGTGTGTTGGGAGGAACAGAAGAGAATTTGGAGGGACTTGGGGGAATGGGAAAATATGATCAAAATATATTTAAATTTAGAAGTTGTTTTAAACAATAAAAATACAATTTAAAAATCACCATGGTAAAAAACCAAAAGAATATTTTAGACATCTGCTATGATCTATGCTGATAGAATGAGTGATTTTAAAAATGTGGAAGAAAATACATAATCAATTGTAAAAAATATAAGCCCAAAAAGATACCTGAGACAAGTAAAGTTGTTATCTCACTTCTGTGTGTATGCACCCATCCAACTCCAATGGACACACACAGAGGTGCACACACACATACAAATATACACACACATATGTGTGCACACATGCAAAAGAGAGAGATAAACTAACTATATTATACATTTAATTCATGGAGTAGTAGTATAAAAGGCAATGGATTATATATAAAACTGATATATAATAAAAATGCTTGGAGAGGATAAAAATGGCCATCTTAATTGACTATGCATAATAATACATAAAATTGTATAGGTCATATCACTGTGTATGACTATATTTAAGTGGCCATATGTGAACAATAAGTATTACGATGCATATATTTATCTAACAAATGTTTATTAAAATTTTATTAGACAAACGTGTTAAAGCATTAAATTTCAGCTTCCACTAGGAAAAACAGGCATGCAGATTGTATGAAACAAGTATTTGGTCCACAGAAAAGCCCAAAAGGTTTTCTGGAATCATCTAGGTCAGACTAGATGGGAAAGGATACTCAGATCCTTGAAGGATGAGTCAGAGGAGGAGAGGGAGTCAAGGAACGTGGGAGTCAGTAGTAAGACAGGATACTTAGCATGTTAGACTCTGAAGATCATAAAAAGGTATACACAGTTTAAAAGGAAAAGGTAGCTGGGATAGCTAACTTGGAAAGGTGCACAAGCACAAGGATCCATGCATGGTGGTGTGAGCCTTTAATCACAGTGTTGGAGAGGCAGAGACAAGAGGTTCCCAGGAACTTACTGAGAAGCCAACCTAGTCTAATTTGCAAGCACAAGGTCTCATTGAGAGATCTTTTGTAAGACTGTAAGGTTGACTTCTAGCCTTCAAATGTACACACACACACACACACACACACACACACACACAAATACAAAGGAAAAGCATAATATAATATAGTAGTTGCTATTGCTTCCCTTCTTTTCCCATTCTGAAATAGATGATAAATTTCCCCAGGAGAAAAGATGTCATCATGTTATGCCTTACAGTTCAGGAATTTCTTTCTCGAGTTTCAACATAGACAGGTCCTGTAAAACATTATTGAGAGCTAGACAGCATCTCCTATTGGGGTTGTCATCATGACATGCCTATGGTTAACTCCTGTTAGAGAATATATGGCTAGATAGATAAGTAGTTTAATAGATTGCCTTCTTATAGACTTGCAGAGTGAACATGTTATTTTGGACCAAGGAGAAGTTATGATGTACAAGGAACAAGCAAATAGGCCTGAGCATGCTACATCTTAAAACCTGAATATAAGCTGGGAAAGATTACTATTAAAAAAGTGGAGGCAACAGATGTTTTACTAGATTGTCACCCCCAACGTTTAAGACTATATAGGTTTCCATAATAACACTGAGACAAGGTCAGTCCATTTGTTCTTGACTCTTTAAATCTAAACATGCATCCAGGTACCTAAAAGAATGGTACCTATAATGAAGTCCCTTACATTCTTAACGGCTGGAAGTTCTGGGCAGACACTGAGCTACAGAGGCAGTGTCTGGGCTCCATCCTACATACATAGGTAACTCTTATTGGGACTGCATGATTGCCATGTTTCTTTGGCCAAACAGACTACATGGAGACATATCTTGGGTGATGGTGTGTCTGCTTTCCAGGTCTGATGGCCCAGCATTTAGTTCCAAAGATGCTCATCATTTAGAATGAACTGAATTTCCAGCCCCTATGTATCCATTATTAACATTTGGGTGTCTAGTTCAGTTTTCTGTAGGTGTCCATTGGAGTGACACATAACAGGGAATGTGGGTTATGTCTACACAGTAAGATTGTAACTTTATGTCAGTGTGCTCAACTATCAGAATGCCCCTTGCCACTTAAATTTAAATGCAGAATTACCAAGCTCTTTACCTGCCATGGCATAAAAATATTGTATTCAATTTAATAGTCATGACTCCCTTATTTAGATGTAAACTGTTGTTTAAATGTTTTGAGTACTCACTATTATCTTACTTAGGCCCTGAACTCAAAGGTGAGATACCAAGCAGGTCTGTCTCATTTCCAGCATACAGCATACAGTGGTGGCCTTCAAAAGGCAGGCTGCAAGGGCCATGAGCCTGATGCTCTGTGTAGACCTTTTGACTTTGAGTCTTTAGGACTTGTGAATAACTTGTCCTGTTTTCATTTTTAGGGCAGCATAACTATTTATGTGCTGGAAGAAATGACTGCATTGTTGATAAAATCCGCAGAAAAAACTGCCCAGCATGTCGTCTGAGAAAGTGCTGTCAGGCTGGTATGGTCCTTGGAGGTAATGTTGATGTTTTCATCGATAGCATAGTGCGCCTTGCTCTTCTATTCTAACTCTGAGTCAGAAGGATCACAATATTTTTTATTTATTTATTTATTTATTTATTTATTTATTCACTTTACATCTTAATCACAGTGCCCTTCCTTCCCATCATCCCACAGTTACCCTTACAAATCCCTCCCCCATTACCACCTGTAACTGCCCATTCTGCCCTACATTTGGGGGCCACTTTGTCCCTGCCTGAGCTGCTGCTCCAATCTGTGGTTCAGGGTCTAGCAAGAGAGAGAGAGAGAGTGGGGATGGAGGGGCAAGAGACTTGAAGAATGGAGACGAGACAGAGATCTTGTTCAAGTTCCTCCTTTATTGAAAGGAAATCATGGGTGTCTATAAGCACAAGCAGGGAAATTCAGCTGAAGACACTTTACCACGTGTACCTTGCAGCTGGGGGCATTAAACAACAAAACAGGATATGTAAGAAAAGCAAGATATTTATCAGAGTGTGCTCAGCTGTTGTAGGCTGTTGAAAACAAGTCTTTTGTCAGGGTATATGGCTCGAGATGGCTGCAAAGATGATAGCCGCTTTCTGCTTGGAGGTGGCTCCCACCAACCACCTTCCCTTCTCCTCAGATAAGGGGAAGTCCCCCTCGGGTACCACCCTGGCCTGTAACAGCCAGTCTCAGGAGGACTAAGCACATCCTCTCCCACTGAGGTCCAACCAGGTAGTCCATTTAGGGGAAGTGGATTCAATAGCAGGAAATAGAGTCAGAGACAGCCCCAACTCTGCTTCATTTCTTACAGGACCCTCATAGAGACCAAGCTGTACATCTGCTACAAATGAGTAAGGAAGGGGTTTAGGTCCAGCCACTTCCTCAAGCTCTGACTGATGTTTTGGCAATGGTATATGGGTTTATTTCTGGGAATCAGCTTTGCATCTGTTTCCATCAACTGCTGGATGAAGCCTCTCAGGAGATGGTTATGCTGGGCTTCTGTCTGAAAGCATAGTGGAGTATCATTAAGTGTCGGGATTGGCTCTTTACCATGGGATGGGTCTCAGTCAATAGTTGGCCTTTCCTCACTCTCTGCTCCATGTGTATCCCTGTGCATCTTGTAGGCAAGACAAATTTTGAGTTGAAGGTTTTATGGGTGGGTTGATGCCCCCTCCCTCAACTGGAAGTCTCACTTGGCTACAGGAGGTGATCACTTCAGTCTTCATATCCCTTGCTAGTAGGAGTCATCTCCTTCCAGGTAGGGTCATCTCCATAGACCCCTGGGAGCCTTCCCCATTCCGTGTCTCCTCCTAGTACCAGAGATGTTCCGCACCAGTTTTGTTTTCACACCCAGCCCTATCCTGCCTCCTAACCACACCTGATCCCAATCCTTATTCCCCTCCTCACACCCTCTCCAACGGATCCCTCCCTTCATCCACCTCTGATGTCTATTTAGTTTCCCCTTCTGAGTGAGATTCACACGTCCTCCCTTGAGCCTTCTTTATTACTCAGTTTCTTTGGGTCTGTGAATTGTAGCATGGTTATCCTATATTTGACGGCTAATGTCTACTTAGATGTAAGTATATACCTTGTGTGGGATACCTCACTCAAGATGCTATTTTCTAGTTGCATCCATTTATCTGAAAATTTCATGATATCTTTGCTTTTAATAACTGAGTAATAGTCCATTGTGTCAATATACTACATTTTTCTTTATCCATTCTTCAGTGGACAGATATGTAGGTTGTTTCCCTACATGTCTTGCTATTATGAAGAAAGCTGCTATAAACATAGCTGAGTAAGTGTCCTTGTGGTATAGTAGAGCACCTTTTGGGTATATACCCAGGAGCGATATAGCTGGGTCTTGGGATAGAGCTAGTCCCAACTTTCAGAGAAACCACCAAATTGGTATCCAAAGTTGGCACTCCTACCAACAGTGGAAGAGTATTCCCCTCCCTCCACAATCTTGCCAGCATGTGCTATACACTTGAGTTTTTGATCTTAGCCATTTTAAAGGGTATAAGATGGCCTGTTAGAGTGGTTTTGATTTCCCAATGACCAAAGAAGTTGAACATTTCTTTAAGTGTTTCTCGGTCATTAGAGGATCTTCTATTGAAAATTCTCTTTTTAGCTGTGTACCCCAATTTTTAATTGGGTTATCTAGTTTGTTGGTGTCTAATTTCATGTGTTCTTCATATATTTTGGATATTCACTCTCTGTCAGATGTAGTCTTGATTAAGTTCTTTTCCCATTCTGTATCTGCCGTTTTGTCCTATTGATGGCATCCTTAGCCTTGCAAAAGCCTTTCGATTTCAAGAAGTCCCATTTATTGTTGTTCTTAGTGCCTGAGCTATTAGTGTTCTGTTCATGAATTTATCTCCCATCTCAATATGTTTAAGGCAGTTCTCCACTTTGTCTTCATTATCTTTAGTATGTCTAGTTTTGTATTTTCATTTTTCTACATGGAGACATCCAGTTAGACTAGCACCATTTGTTGAAGATGCTCTTCCTGTTCCATTTTATGAGTTTGGTTTCTTTGTTAAAATTCAAGTGTTCATATGTGTTTGAGTTTATTTCTGAGTCTTCAATTCTATTCTATTGACCAAGCTGTCTGTTTTTATGCCAATACTATGTAGTTTTTATTACAATTGCTCTGTAGTATAACTAAAAATCAGGAATGGTCATACCTACAGACATTCTTTTATTGTTCAGGATTGTTTTAGCTTTCCTGCATTTTTTCTTTTTCCATATGAAACTGAGAATTTCTTTTTCAATGTCTGTAAAGAAGTGGGTTAGAATTTTGACCAGAATTGCATTGCATCTGTAGATAGCTTTTGGTAAGATGTACACTTTAACTATGTTAATCTTTCTGATCCATGAGCATGAGAAGAATCCCAATTTTTTCCCTATTAATAGGTTATTTATTATTTCAGATACTTCCCATTCTTTTCTTTAAAAAAATTATTGGATATTTTATTTATTTACATTTTAAAAGTTATCACCCTTCCTGGCTTTCCCTCTGCAAACCTCCTATCCCACCCCCTCCCCCTGCTTCTATGAGGGTGCTTCGCCAACCCACACTCCCACCTCATCACCCTAGCATTCACCTACAATGAGGTATTGAGCCTTCATAGGACCAAGGACCTCCCCTCCCATTGATGCCAGATAAGGCCATCCTCTGCTACATATGCATCTGGAGCCATGGGACCCTCCATATGTACTCTGTGGTTGGTGGTTTAGTACCTGGGAGCTCAGGAGGGAGTCTGGGTGGTGATGCAAACCCCTTCAGCTCCATTAGTCTTTCCCCTAAGTCCTCCATTGGGGTCCCTGTGCTGAGTCTGATGGTTGGCTGCAAGCATCCGCATCTGTATTGGTAAGGCTCTGGCAGAGCCTCTCAAGACAGGCTCTTGTCCTCAAGCACTTCTTGAGCAATAGTGTATCAGCAATAGTGTCTGGATTTGGTGTCTACATATGTGACAGATCCCCATGTGGGGCAGTCTCTGGATGCCCTTTCCTTCAGTCTCTGCTCCACTCTTTGTCCCTGTATTTCCTTTAGACAGGAGCATTTCTGGACTGATATTTTTGAGATGGGTGGGTGCCCCATACCTCAACTGGGAGCTGTGCCTAACCTCTAGATACGGTCTTTACAGATTCTCTCTCTTCTTTGTTGGGTATTTTAGCTAAAGTCATCCCCATTAGATCCTGGGAGCCTCTTGCTTTCCTGGCATCTGGGACTTTCTGGTGGCTACTCCCAGTTCCACATCCCCTACTGCTACACTGTTCAATTTCCTGTCCCTCTGTACATCTCCATTTCCTCCTACACCTAATCCTGCCCTCCTTTTTTTCTCTTCCCCCTCCTCTCTTCCTCCTAAATCCCTCCCACCCTCTACTTCCAGTGATTATTTTGCTCCCCCCTTCTAAGTAGCACTAAAGCACCCACACTTTGGTCTTCCTACTTCTTGGGCTTCATATGGTCTGTGAGTTGTATGGTGGGTATTCTGAGCTTTTTCCCTAATATTCACTTATCAGTGAGTACATACGATGTATGTTCTTTTGTGACTGGGTTACCTCACTCAGGATGGTATTTTCTAGTTCCATCCATTTGCCTGAGAATTTCATGAAGTCATTGCTTTCCCAATTTTTTATTCATCTTTATTCTTGTTTTTTCTTGTTTGTTGGTGGTGACCATTCATATTCCAATTTGAAGCAACCAACAGTATAATCTTGTTAATTCTGTGGATTTCCAGCATGCTAAGTTCTGTTGTACATCAGTAGACTTTATGATAGTATGTGTCTCTGTCTTTAGGTAGTACAGATTGTAGGCTAGCCACTGCTGCTTACCACTTGTGTGATTTTAAATGATTCTCAAGCCTGTAGGTGCCATTAGGCTCCTTGACTATAAAGTAAGAGATCAGAGGTATCTTCGAGCTTAGAATTCAATCCTGAAGGTTTGTCAGATGCAGGTTAAACAGTGACAAACTAAATGGCCACCACCACCATTGGACTGAGAATCTACTTGATGGACATGTAGTTGCTCCCTGCACAAGTTTTTGTTATTAGACTCTCTATGGCGTTTAATAATATGGTAATAAGTACATTAAAGTTGGACCTGGCAGATGACTGAGTAGGTAAAGATGCTTGCCACTAAGCCTAATGACTCGAACTCTGATTCCATGTGGTGAAAGGGGAAAACCAATGTTTCATAGTAGTACTCTGTTATTCATATATACAGTATCACATATGGATATGCCATTCAATCAGACATATGAGTTTGACCTCCAGAGTCCACCTTTTTAAAAAGGCTGGATATGGTAACTCTGACTTATGACCCAAGTTCTGGGGAGACAAAGACCAAAGTGTCACTGAGACTTGGTGGCTAATCTGTGTAGCCTACTTGACAAACTCTAAGGGCTGTAAGTAAACACCATTTCACAAAAGAAAAGGAGAAATATCTATGGTTGTCATTTGACCTCCACAAACACATGCACAAGAATGCATGCACACTCTTTTACA